TCTCCTTCCTTCTTTATTTTGAAGAGGGCCCGTGAGATATGGGCTGAAACATCTGCAGAGATTAATCGCACTGTTGACTAATTGTTTTATAATTTTGCGTAATGTATCAACGAACTAGTTTTATGATAGCTTTCATAGATGTTATTACTATATATGTATGAATTACTTTCTACTACGTGAGTGAAGTAGTCACACAAGCTCTCCATCAGGCCGGTCTTGAACTGATCATTAACAATCATGCCGTCGGCGGAGACAAGCAAGCGCAGAGCTTCAGCGACGCAGTCGTAAAATCCCTGCTGGTAACTTCGATAGTTTCTGTCTTCTTGTTTCTCGTGGTTCGGCACTTTCTTTCCTAAACAAAATAAGTTTATGAATAATGATAATTGTTTCAATGGAAACATGAATTAATCTAAAAAAGTCGAATACGGTCCCAAAAAATTCTGAAGTTTACAGTCATGCAAATTTATTCACTGATATTCGACCGTGGTTAATAAAAATAGGATAATTTTATTCGCCATAGCTGCTTAATAACATCATTAATTTTCGTAGTTCCTCACTGAAGTCTCATTTTTATAAGATATATGGAATTTTTTAAAGAACTGATTACACTCTTTCACAGGATCAAGCAAGATTCGAGTCAAGAATGGAGCTGTATAATGCTTGTAAGGTGCAATTAGACCGCGTGTGCAATTGTAGATAGAACGCACGATAGATGCTCTATACAGACACTGGGAAAGACAACGTTTTGAGGGCGAAATTTGTCATCAAAAATTGTCTTGATCATACATGTTGATGATGTCATAACTGTGTTCATGAAAAATATCAGCTAGAGTTAAACTTTAATGCTACTTCTTTGAATGGAGAGAAACTTGAGGATCTTTCGAGGAAATCGAAATCTAACATAATCACCCTGAATGATGCCGGAAAAAAGTTCAGACAGCTAAAGCACAATGGGCAAAATACAAGTCTTTAAAAAAGTATTTATTAACAATTTCGGTTCCGACAAGCTTCGAAGTCGCCAGACATAACATAAGCATAAAGTTGCCGGATACGGCATTTATTCCCCTTGAACTGTCGTATCTGTGTTATCGATAAACGCTTCTCTGCAAAGGTTCATTCATAAAGTACTCGTCATATACCAAACGGTTGAATGACATTTAATAATCCACTGGACCCTTCAGAGGCGTTCTCATACCGAAAGTGTATAACGAGATTTGTATTCAAATTTTAGCCGGCAAACCAAGTGAGTAGAGCGTCGTTTAAGTCATTAGTCACTAAAAATTTTTCTAGGCTTTAACAGCAGTTACTCAACGATGGTGGTATCCGAAGCCGTAAATTTTGTGGCGGCCAGAAGAAGTGAATGATCGGTGATCGCAGTTCAGCATTTGACCTTCGTGTCATCGACGACTTCAAGTCAAGGAAACATGTACTTGTCTAAAGGTCGTGTGACAGTCATTACCGAAAGATGGCACGCGTCGACACGCCGCCATTTTCTTCTGGTTGACTATTGAAAATGCGCTGTTGCCTTACGGTGTGAAATCCATTCTCTCCCTGACCCCTTATGATCCTTTATGCAAATGCTTGGCACAGAGCATCGTATTACATCGGAGAGGTAACTTTGAGAGGTCGAGGCTGGACTATATAACTTCGAAAATTGAAATTCAACATATCGATTAACTGATTAGTTAATTAATTGCATAATCTGTAACATTTTGTTCAGTACAAGTTTAATATTAATAGTTCGAACCGCTGGATTTTAGAGACACAGGTGAGAATTTATTTCATTCCAGAATAGGTAGCAAGAAAACAACAAAGTTAACATTATTTAACAAACTGGTCAGGTGTCGGTCAAACGAATAAATGTCGATCATCATCAGGGTACAGAAACAGTTGAAGCAGCATTACTTCCAGCTGTTGTTTTGCCATTCCGTTTCATCGCTTTTGGAATCAGTTTCATACTGACTGTTTCGATACACCTCCGATGACCGACGTTCATTCGACCAAA